TCCCTCAGCCATAACAGTTTCTCAAGCTCCGCTACACCAGACAGTTCATATACCTGCCCCTCAATATTCACATTCTAACCTATTCAGTTTGATTAAAGGAGCATACATGGCTTTAAATCATACCCAACCTGATCTCACCCAATCATGTTGGTTATGCTTGGCTGCTCCTCCCCCATATTATGAAGGAAAGGCCCTCAATTTAACCTTTATCAGTTCTTCTAGCTCATCTGCCTGTGACTGGAACAATCACCACAAGCTGACTCTCCCTGATGTCTCAGGTAGAGGAACTTGTCTTGGAGATTCCAGCCATCCACCAGCACTGGCAGCACAACTCTGTGCCCAGATTCATTCCAAATTCAAGCCAAATAATTACCTCATTCCACCCCCAGGAACGTCTTGGGCCTGCAATTTTGGCCTATCACCCTGTATAGCAACTGCTGTTTTTAACAAGTCTGCAGATTTTTGTGTTCTTGTACAGGTTCTTCCTCGCATAACCTTCCACCCAGGAGACTACTACCTCCAGGCATCACAGATCAGCTATATATCTAAGAGAGAACCTGTGACATTCACCTTAGCTGTGTTACTAGGGTTAGGAGTAGCAACGGGAATAGGGACAGGGACCACAGCTCTAGTGTTGGGAGATAAGCATCTAGCTCAATTACAGGCAGCAGTAGATCAGGATTTAAAAGAAATAGAAGCATCTGTGACAGCTCTACAGGCGTCCCTGATGTCTCTATCTGAGGTAGTCCTGCAAAATAAAAGAGGACTAGACCTCCTGTTTATGAAGGAGGGTGGCTTATGTGCAGCCCTCAAGGAAGAGTGTTGTTTTTATGCTGACCACTCGTGAGTAGTCAAAGAGTCCATGAATAAACTGAGAGAGCACCTCGAAGAGAGAGAAAAGGAGCGCATCGGAGCAACCACCTTCTCCTCCATGTGGGAGGATCTCTCCCCTTACATTGCCCCCCTCTTGGGACCCCTAGCTGCCTTGCTGTTGCTGCTTACTGTAGGACCTTGTGTTTTCCAGAGGATCATGACACTCATTAATAACATCAATAACAAGGTTGACACATTTATGGCAAAGCCCATTCAGGTATATTACCATCGGTTGGAAATGGCAGAACAACAAACTTATCGGGAAAATTCACCCACTGACGGCCCACATGATGCTGTGGCCCAGACGCCCTGAGGCACTGGACAGGCAGTCAGAGACGGGCAACTAGGACACATATGTAATGCCAATCAGCCACCTAAGACAGGTCCAGGACCAACAGCTGTCCTGCAGGCCCATGACGGGTAAGGCTCGATTGGGTTCATATGAGGAGTCCTTGACCCAAGGCAGGCGCTGTCCTCCCAGGGCCTGCCATGTTCCAAAAAATATATATAATGATAAGGGAGGAGATGTAGGGAGCGGTTTTGAATAGCTGCTGCTGCCCTGCCCCTCCTGCCTGAGGGCATTTTGTGTGTCAGCCTACATTTCCCATGATCCTCCCCTTGCCTGCAATGCACATGACAAGCAAACTTCCTGTTTCAGCCTGCCTACATTACCCATAATCCTCTCCTGCTTACATCATATAACCGAATGTGACGATGACCTATCAGATTAAGCCTTCTTCCTGCCTATGGCCCGCCCCCACCCTATATAAGTTGTAGCCATTTTAAAAATAAACGAGACTCGATTGGAATCTCATCCTGTCTCCATCTCTCTTTTCTCTTGTCCTGCCCCCATCCCCGATCCCCTCTCCAGGTTGAGACCCATAGATTGGTCCGCAGGCCGGATCAGACATGAACCGGTAGAGATATGCTCTGCTGACTCAGAAACAAACTGGGCTGAGAGAAACCAACTTAGAATACAGCCCTGGCGCTAAAATAGGAACAGAAAAGACTCGGTGTGGAGGCTCGACCCCGCGCCATTAGAAACCGTGATTTGGGTTTCCCACCGCCCGGCGGCTGGCTGCCTCCACAAGCGGCTCGGCAAGGAGAGACGCGCAGAAGCTCTGGGAATGGGAGTCTGTGAACGGAGTCGAAAACAGGACGGACAAGGAGGCGTACACGAAAACTGACTGGTGGCGAGGTGAGTGAGAGAAACTGACCCCCTACCACAGTTTGACTCCAGCGGAGGACTTTCTGGGCTCGGGCAGTCCTGTAAGAGCAGGGCGCGGTGGCGACTCCAGCCACACATTCCCCTTTCGGACGGGATTGGTGAAAAGTGCCTGGCCTGCGTGACGCTGCGGGCGGACTTGGTAGTCTGGCCTAACCCAGATCCCAGAGCCTGACGGTGGCCCAGAGGGGCGACTGACTCCCGCGTAGGCTGCCTCCTCCGCAACTCCCTGGTGTGCAGCAGTGGGCAGGAACATCTAGCCAGCGCAATTTGATCAGGCTGTGGCTGACAGGCAGGGAAGCCGGGCCTCCTATGTAAGCTTGCATTTTATAAGGAACAGAAAATATGGGGAAGGGAAGCAACAAGAAAGGCTCCTCGGCCCCCAATTCTGAGAAACAGGTAATAGTGGACACCACACCAATATACATTAAGTGCCATATAGAGAGCCTCATAGACCAATTCAGGAATGAAGTTATCAACGACATGAAGCTAGAAGTATGCAGAATAGTTAGAGAAATGCTAAGCACCACTCAGGAAAAAACAGATGGTGGAATGGAAGAACAGAAAAAGAGGGGAGAATTGCTTGATGGAGAAAACAGAGAAAGCATTGAGTATGTGAAGCAGGTTCAAAGGGACTATCAAGAAATTAAGAAGTCTATCCAAGACTGGCATAACAGCTTGAAAGAAACTAAGGACAGACTATCTGATCTGGAGGGCAGCCTTGTAATATGGGAGAATGAAATGAAAAACTTCTTAAAAATAACAAAGAAACAAACAGCAATAATACAAAGACAAGAAAATGATAAGAGGAGCCATAACTTAAGGATTAAGAACATAAAAGAAGAAGTAGGGACACAAACAAGTGAACTACAAAAGCTACTCACAGAAATAATCCAGGAGAATTTTCCTAATTTAGCAAAAGGTAAAGATACTCAGATGTATGAGGCATACAGGACCCCAGCTACCTACAACCCTAACAGAGAAACACCCAGGCATATAATAATAAAAATTCCAGAAATTCAATACAAGAACAGAATATTAAAAGCTGTAAGAGACAAGAAACGGACCACTTACAAGGGAACACCCATCAGAATTACAGCAGATTTCTCTGCACAAACCATCAAATCACGAAGAGCATGGGGGGAAATAATTCAAGCTTTGAAAGATAATAATCTCCAGCCAAGATTGAGATATCCTGCACAACTGTCCCTGGAAATTGATGGAAAAACGAGGTGCTTCCAGGATAAAGAGGAACTGGGGGAATTTGCAACCACTAATTCAACCCTACAGAAAGTATTGCAGGATATTCTAAAAAAAGAAAAATACAAAGAACCCAGAAATAGTGGCAGGGAGGCCACAATGAATGGAGCAGAGAACAAAATGAAGAAGACAAACTGACAGCTACTGACAGAAAAAGAGCTCAACAGAAATGAGACAGAGAAGATTGGATGATAGGAACAGCTATTTTGGAGAAAATGACATCGTAATAGGTAATACTGATTTAGTACCATCTTGTTTTGAAGTCTCATCTAGCTTTTGTTCTTCTGTCTCCAATGGTCTAAACAGGTTGTATCTTATTGGATTTTATTATGTATGATAGTATAAGCAAAAACCTTTTAAAGACAAGGAGATTATACAGAAACCATTGTTCATTTTCTGTTAGTCGATTCTAAATACTCTATAATGCTGTCATTCTCTTAAATGGTTTTACATTGTTTTGATATACTTAATGCTACAATATACGAAGTTGTACTCAAGGACTTCAAGGAAAGAGTCAATATGGTAACTACTTTTGGGTCGGAATTATCTGGTGGTGAAACACTATTCTGCTTAAATGGTTATGTTTTGATCTGCCCTGTTTCGCTGTTATGCCCTCTTTTTTCTCAATCTCCACTCCATTATTTACTTTTTTATTTTTATCCGTTTAATTAAAGGGAAAAAAATAGCAGGATATAATATAGTAACCCACTTTGACTTTCTATTATCTCGATTTGAAGCCCTGTATTACTCTCACCATCTTGTTTTTGAGTGATGTTCCCCTATTCTGTTTTGCTGGATAGTATCAGGTTCGAAAGTTTAGGCATCAGCTGAGAAGATATTGAGATTCATTATAACGCCCATTCTCGTTGACTTTTATCTACTTTTGAAGACCTACAATGTCTCCAATGTTTTGGTTTTGTCGGTTTTATTCTTTACTGTTTTGTTCAATTGTATTACAACTAATGATATAGGCAATTCTATTAGAGATAGCGGGAGGCATTATGGTAACCATTGTTGATCACCTTGTATTATGTTTTTATATTATCTATTATGTCCTCCCTTTTGACTTGACCGATTCTGTTCTGTTATGTCACATTTGGTTTTACTCTCTTCCAAAAAAGCAATAAGAACCGTGGGAGCAATGAAACCCAAAATGTGTAATAGTCATTGTACAAAAGAGAGGAAAAGAAAGTGCTCTAAACTATATAACTGCATGTATATTTAAGTGTATAAGATAGAAAATGATATCACAGAGTTTTATTGCATCATTGAACAGAACTGTTTGCAGTATCATTGTTGGAATGTCCACTCTACAAGCTGTAATTTTGTGACTTGAACAATTATTTCTAAGATGGCAATATGTAATCCATTAACTAGTGATTTCCTACTGCGCATTTTTTCCTCTGTAAATCTGTATAACTTGTACCCCTTCACTGTTTTTTTTCTTTTCTCCTTAAATAAAAAAAAAACAGTTTATGAGCACTGATCTAATGACACATGATGAAATGAACAAAAACTTTGAAAGAAAGAAAGTGGCACTGCAGTACCCAATCCTGATTCCAGAGTTTTATGGTGTGAAATCCAGCAATATTATTAATCTTTGTTCAGAAGGATTTTAATCTAATATACTGTTAGGTCTCAACATAAATGAAGATATGGATAAACGTGTACATGTCTAAGTGTATAGGATTGATAGCCATAATACTTAGTTTTTGTTGGATAGTTGAACAGAACTCTTTGCAGTCTCCCTGGATGAAATCCCATTTATATGTTCTATTTGTGTACCTTGAACAACTATTTATAGGGGGACAATATGTATACATCAGCTAGTGATTTATCACTATTTCTTTTCTTTGAAAATATGTACTATTTCTGCTTGTTTTCTATTTTGTTTTGTTTTTCTTTAAATAAAAAAAATGCATGGTTGTAGGAATGAGAAAACAGAGCACAGATGGGTAAAAACATTTGCAAATCTGATCAGAGCATGTATATCCAAAAGACACAGCAGCAGAGACCAGCAGGTGACTGTGTCAGGTCCTGGCATGCAGCAACACCTGATGTCATCTGGTTTCATCAGGACTACTAGCTGAGTTGCATGTTGCCAGTTCGGCATTTCATGTGAACTGAGCAAAAGAACCCTCGGCTGACTGACAACACTCCACCAAGGGTAGACTGGGGGTCGCTCCACCACCAGTTCCCAGGAGGTCAACCTCAGCAGCTGCGTCTGCTTCTCCTGAAGAACCTAAGAGCCTTCGCCCGACTTTGGTTGATTTTTGGGCTCCTCCTTGTTTTTCCTCCTCTGCTTCCGCTGGGATCAGATTTCTGTTTTGCAGGAAGCTTTCAGGGTTTTATCTTTGCAGTCAGACGGGCACCAGCTTCCATTCAGTTTGTCCAAGACGTGGCTAAATTTTCCAGTCCCAAGATCAACATTTCCCTAGGACTCTGGGGAGCCTTGGTCTCACCCCAGTGGCTCCCTGGTCTGCAGAGCCTGTCTTCCTGGGGACTGTCTCACCAACTTTATGCCACATCCACTGAGGCACATGGGTCTGGTGCCACCTCCTGATCCACTATCCCCCTTGGTGCTGCTCTGTCACTTCCCACATGCTTCACAGCAGCTCTGTAGCCAGACAGTCTGGGCTCTGTCCCCTCACCTCCTGGGCAGCAAGTGCAGCCTGACAGGTCCTCCGTCCCCAAGACATCTGCCTGGAGGACCAAGCACAGATCATCACCCAACCCTCGGCCAGCACCTCGAATCCACAGACTGAGCGGATCTTTGCATAAAACACAGTGAACAAGGCACCAGGATGCGGCTCAAAACACCAACAAGGAAAGGGACAACAAGAAGAGGATGGCAACAAGGACAAGTACAGAAACAAGGAAAGGGACAGAAACAAGGAAAGGGACAGAAACAAGGAAAGGAAAGGCTACTGGAGCCTCAAGCAGGAATAACACAACCTGGCCTGATATAAAAGCCTGGAACCCAGAGTACCTCACAAACACACACTCACACTCACTCACTCACACTCGTCCTCCAGCCCAAACCAGCCTTGGCCACCTCCACCATGTCCCTCTGCTCCAGCGCTTGCACCAAGCCCTCGCAGCTAGACAACTGCCCAGACAGCTGCTGCGAGCCACCCTGCTGCACCTCCAGCTGCTGCCAGCCCACCTGCTGTGCCCCAGCCCCCTGCCTGAGCCTGGTCTGCACCCCATGCTGCCAGTCAGGCTGCACCAGCTCCTGCACGCCCACGTGCTGCCAGCAGTCGAGCTGCCAGCCGGCCTGCTGCTCCTCCTCCTGCCAGCCGGCCTGCTGCTACTCTTGCCAGCTGTCCTGCTGCACACCTGCCTGCTGCACACCTGTCTGCTGCACACCTGCCTGCTGCACACCCGTGTGCTGTACACCTGCCTGCTGCACACCTGTGTGTTGCACACCTGTGTGCTGTAAGCCTGTGTGCTGCACACCCGTCTGCTCCGGTGCCTCTTCCTCCTGCTGCCAGCCTGCCTGCTGCTCCTGCTCCCCCTGCCAGCCGGCCTGCTGCGTGCCCAGCTGCTGCACGCCCTCCTGCTCCTCCGTGTCCCTGCTCTGCCGCCCTGTGTGCAGACCCGCCTGCTGCCTGCCCTCCTCCTCCTGCTGCACCTCGTCCTGCCAGCCCAGCTGCTGCTGCCCATCCTCCAGCGTGTCCCTACTCTGCCGTCCTTCCTGCCCCCGCCCCGCCTGCTGTGGCCTCTCCTTGGGCCAGAAGTCCTGCTGCTGACTAGCCTGGTCCATCTTGGTGGGCAGACTGAGCTCCAACCTCAGGGCTCCCTCTGCTGGCCACATGACCACCTTCAGGATTGCTCCACCTCACACCTTACAGCCAGGGATTTCCTGTCACCTCCAGGATGGGCCAGTGAGCAGGATGTGACCTTCCCTGGTTGCTCCCTCCTGAGCTGTGGCATTTTCGCTCAGCCCTCCCAGCCTTCCTCTGCTGCCTCAGCGGTGTCCTCCTTCCCTACAAGTTTCTTGCATTGCAGTTAATAAACTGCCTCTCTCCCAGCCTTGTACAGCGGCAGTCCATCCTTTTCACAGCCAACAGAGCTCTGGCTTCAGCTGCCCCTAGACCAGCTGCATCCAGGAACCATGGGCCACTCCTCGGGGCAGTGGAGTTCAGGACACCCATGAAAAGTTCCCAGGTGCCTGGCTAGTCTGAGTACCACTGACTCAAGTCCCTCTGCTGCCACCCAGCCTTCCATGGAGGCCCCTCATTCCCTGCCCTCCACTCCCCAAAGGACTGTCTTCTCAAAGAGGGGCTATCAGAAGTTAGTCCCCGTCTCTGGGGCTCTGCCCACTGCCTTCCCTGTGATTCTGGTCTGCTCTGCATACCAGGGAGGTACCCCTCCACCCTGAGCCCCGACCACCCCCAGCTGACCGGGGACCTGAGACATCTCCCCACATGCACAACAGACACCAGAGCTGGCCAGGAACCAGTGTGGGGAGACGGCTCTGAAATACTTCCAGACACTCGTGGTGTCATGAGATGCAGAAGCACCAGCCTGTGGAGGACAGTGTTGGGGGTCTCACAGGGCAGGACACCTGGAAAAGCAGGCTTCCTGGGTACCAAGCCCACACCAATCTCAGTGACACTGAGGCCACCGAGATGCAGCTTTCCCTGTGCAGATCTGAGCCCATGGAGCCTAGAGATAGCAGAGCTGCCTGGGATGGAGTGTGGGGTCCTCCCTAGTCTGGGGACCCTCTTGACCCCTCCGCCACTGCCCAGGGACCAGGCCACACTTGCACCAGATGCCTGAGAACGGGCAGGTGGGAGAGGGAAAGGAGGCATATGTGGGTATGCACCCATATCACGCTCACACACAGGCGTGTCGGTTGCACACGTATGCAGGCAGAACGCTGCCTGGCAGTGCACACATGTCAGCCCAACCACTTCCAAAGACCTGCAGAGGAGGCACCCTCACCCTTGGCCATGGGGCGGGGCAGGACTGCAAGCTGAGCTGGGCTGCCCAGAAGTGGGGTTTGTATTTCTCCTCCCCTTTCTCTTCCACCCACAGTGGTAGAGCCCTGGGCATCCGTGGGGTTCACCAAGTACCTACACACAGAGCTCTGGTGGGACAAAGGTCCCTGCCAGCCCTGCAAGGACAAAGACACAAGAATTTCCACCCTGACTTTCAGAGTGGAGCTGGGGCTGGGGTTTGTGGCCCTCAGGGACACCACTGGGGTGGGGTGGACACCTTTAGGTGCTATGTCCCAAGGGACTCCCAAGACCAATCAGGGTGGGGTGCAGAGCAAGGGTCTCCTGTGCAAGGGTGGCTCAGACGGCGAGCTCCTGGTGCTCTGCAGACGGTTAGTTAAGAATGTGAATACATCCAATAAATAAAAGTGACAGGCAAAATCCCCTCAGCCTTAGAAGTTTTGGAGTCCCAACAGCCAGGGCCTCCAACCTCCAAAACTATCCAGCCCCCGATCCCATCAGGGAGCCCTGAAGGGGGCACTAGTCCCTCCTGAGAGCCCCCTGGCATGTGCAAGACCACTGGGGGTGCAGAGAGGCTGAGCTGAACCCCACCTCACTGGCCCCACTCTGAGGGAACTGCAGCTGGCAGCAGTTTCTCAGGGCTCAAGTCACCCACTACTTGCTGGCCCAGAGCGGGCACTTCCAATATGGGACCTCCTGGACCCTGTTGCAGACCTCGCCGGGGAAGTGTTCCTGGGCCTTGGGACTGAAGAATGGCAGGAACCCTGGGGGGAGGGCGAAGAACTGCTGGGAGCAGCGGAAGGGTACACGGAAGGGGTCCTGAACTGCACACCAGGGCTCACATCCTCAGTGCTTTCTGCACCCATGCTGAGGTCTGACCTTGCCCACCCAGCCCAGCACCGCCTTTCTCCCTCCCCTGAATGTGTGCCCTTTGATCCTCCAGGCCCCCTGTACCTTCCCAGGGATGCACAGCCTTCTCGCTGGGAACCTCTGGGCCCTTGCCTTGGCATAGCTTCAGCTTGACCCAGATGGGCCAGGCCCTCCGGGGTGGGTAGCAAGGAAAGGGGGCAGAGGGAGGGTGGCACCTGTCCCAAAATGACAGAGGGAGCGACATCATCAAAGTCCTGCCACTGTCGGACCCACGTGCAAAGGCTCTGCCTCCACCCTCATCCTGCCCCTGGCATAGCCCTTGCCCAACATGGATCCCCTCAGCAGGGTCTGGCTGTCCCCAGTGTGGCTCCCACAAAACCGCAAGGGGACAGAGTGCCAGGTTACACAGACAGGGATGATGCCCAGTATGGCATAGTCAGCTCACTGACCTCAGGGACTCCTTGCACGCCAGGTGCCACCGACTCCCTCCCTGATGGCCCACCCTGCCACCACACCAGTGAGGAGGATGCTGGCACTCGCACTGTAGCCATTTGCCCTGGGCAGCTGGGCCCAACTCAGCATCCAGCCAAGAGGCTCTCAGGCCACAGCAGGTCCTGGTACCTTCCTGGAGTCACTCAGCTGCCCACGCTTAGGTGAGGCCAAAGCTCAAAAAGGATGGGGCCAGGAACAGAGGTGCTTCTCGGGGCGCAGTGCTTCCTAGCAGGCTCTGGGCCCTGGGTTCCATCCCAGCGCCACCAACAAAGCAAAGCTGGAACGCAAAGACACCTGCTCAGAATCCTTTCGAGCCACAACAAGCATGCCTCAGCTTTATACTCCACGCTTGCTCCTCTCCATCTTCCTCTGCCCACCCCAGGGCTGCTGCAGCATCCACAAACCAGCTGCCCCTGCTGACTTCATCCACGCTGACTGCTTGCCCAGCCTCTCTGAAGTGAGACTTAAGCTGCCTACGTTTGCACCTTTCCGGGGGCCCAGGCTAAGCCAGAGGAAGCACCAGGCCCTGCTCAAACATCCAGCTCACTTCCAGTCTCCAGACGCCCCATCTACCAGAGGGGCCTGGATCATGATCTCACTGCCCAGCCACCATCGGGATCCTGGTCACAGAAGTCCAGCGACCCTCCAGTCACCCCACCCAACTCAGCCATCCAAGATGGGACTCCTGCTTTCTGGGCTGTAAGAAAGCTGAGCGGAAAAGGTTGCCCCGTGTCCCAGCGAGGCGTCCAAAGCCCCCCAGGCCTCCTGGACTGTCCCCACCCCAAGGCTCCTGTATAAGCCCTGGAGCCATGTGGCCTCCATCGAGGCCACTCCCACAGTTGGTACCTTGCAAGGTACAGGAGTAAAGACGCTGGCTGGGGACACCTGGGGGTCCCAGCCCCCCATTCCCCACAGCCAACAGCCACGCTATTTGCAAACTAAACACCTGGAAGGAGAGAGAAGGCAATTGTACAGGAAGTCATCGCAGAGGAAGGAGAGGGAACCCCACTGTGGCTACAATGCCACCAGCACACCTCCACCACACTGGCCGGTTGGAGACATGTGGCCCCAGTGTCGGGCAGGGGAGGGGGTTTTCCAAACCCAGATGCAACCACAGAGACTTTGAAAGCAACGTGACCCTCACAGGCTGCACCCCAATTCGAGTCCCCTGGGAATGTTCCAAACTCAGCTCCATGTTATTTACTCCGCTTTCATCTTTCCTCCCTAGATCACGGTGTTCATAACTGGGTCATCTTGTAACTATTCAAGCAGCGCCCCAGGGCAGAGGAGGCGGGCTTTATAAATAACCTTTATTAAGATTGTGCGTGCTGACTCTGCCCAGCGCTGAAGGGAACCTGAACGCACACGCCCGTGACTCATCCCTCCTTAGGACAGCCAGGGTGCTGCTCAGGTCCCTCAGAGCTCGGTCTGGGTGCCCCTTCTGGACCCGGGTGGGGGAGGGACACAGACAGGCCTGGGGCCTGCTACTGCCTGAGCCAGGGCTTGGTGGTGATGGTGGCCTAGCCAGGAGCAGCCCTCACAGGCAGGTGCAGCTCTGGGGCGGGTGGGAGAGGGCCTGCCACCTGTCCCTACACCCCTGGCCGGCCCAGCACAGCCCAGCCTGGCCGCTGTGTGGGCTCCCCCCACCCTGGCTGTTCCTGGCTGTTTGTGGACACCCCCACTGCCACCACTGCTTACACAGGTCCACGATGTAGACCCAGACCTCAGGGTGACCAGGACACGGGGGCCTTGGAGCAGAGTGGGCCTGGTCTGTGGAGGGATAGACCATCCCAGGCAACCAGAGACCAGCTGTTTGCAAATCAAACCATCGAGGCTCTGGGTGAGGCCTGAGCACTCCCACTGCCCCCTACTGCCCTCCCCGTGGGTTCCCAGCCACCAGGCCCTGTTGTCTCTTTGTTCTCTGTCTTGGTTTGATAAGCAAATCTCTGGGTAGAAACCCGGGTTTGATGATGTCATGATCACAAGCAAGTTGAAGCCTTTCTAAGAGAGGAGCAATCCTGGCGTGGTGGGTGGCTGAGGCAGGAGGGTCACAAGTCTAGCCTGGAAAACAGCGACTCAGCGACTCAGCTCTGTCTCAGAATGAGAACTAGAAAGATCTGAGGATGTGCTCAGTGCAAAAGTCCTGGGCTCAATCCCTAGTACCACGGAGATGGGAAAAAAGATAAAAGGAGGGAACGTAATCTCCTGTAGGCTCTGCAGCCACCTGTGTGCCCCTCACCCAGATCTGTTCTCTACTTGGGGGCTGCACCTACATTTCCCACGTCCTGCCTGGAGGGGCCAGGCCAGCCCCTCGGTGGCCCTTGGCCTGCTGCACACAGGCCAGGTGTCTCCGTTCGGGACCCACAGGCGGGGCGCTGCGGCTCATTCCTGAAGCAGGTGTACAGCCTTCCCTGAAGGCCAACAGGTACGCACTTGTGAGGCGAGGCTGCTGGTTAACTCTTTGAAGCTCTGTAGCAGCTCAGAGCCTCCGAGTTGCCGCTGCCTTTAATCTGCTCAGCTCCTCCCGCCTCTCCTGCCCCCAGGTTCTCGGTGTCCTTGGAAAGTGGCATTGATGTGACATCCATCCAGCTGCACAGCAAGGTTCCCACCCGCATCCCCCACCCTGCCTTACCTGTGCAGGGCTCCCAGCGCTGGGCATCTTGGCCAGGGGTCACCAGGGGCAGGAGCGCCACACACAGGCTCAGCA